AAACGGCATATTTTCCTAAACAGAAAACATAAATACAAACAGATTACAACTGGTAATAGCCGGATAGAGCAGCTACACAACTGAAATCCTTGGGAAGACAACCCGAATGGCCGCTAAGTCGAACACGCACAACACACCCACAAGTTCCCAACATGAGAATTCAGTTCCCAAAAGGAGAATAAACACCACATACAACAAACAAAAACGAAAAAAACACTAACAACAAAATGAAAAATACTAGAATAATCCCTCCCCACCAGCAAACCGGCAACTCCAGACACTAAAGCCGTGACATCAAACATGAAACAAGAAACTCCAAACCGAAATCGGTTAATAAGAACACGCCCGAAAACCACAGACCCATCCAACGACAAACACCTTCAAAAAATTCAGACTACTCACATCAAGACGCACCACACATGTACACCACCGATGACCACAGCCCCCACCCCCAACCGAGGCCAGGGATGCCGCTGCCGGTGAAGCCCACCGATCCCAACACCAGAAATCGGCCAGACCCAGGTGTGAGCTGTCTGCGAGACACCGGCCCCAAAAGCCTGCCAAAGCAACGCTCGGAGCCGGCGACCGAGGAAGAACCAGTGACGCGCCGACACTCCTTCACCATTGCCATGGCCACCGGGAACTAAGAGAGATGCCACGCCAGAAGAGGTGATACGAAAGAGACGAGACGATTCTGGAAAAATAATCATCTCAATTGGATGATCCGTGATGGCTCAAAGGCCAAATATATATAAACCCCTGGAATCGGTTACAAGATGATAAGTATGGTAATTGATTAATTACCCCTAAATATAGCCACTAAAAGATACACAAATATATACAAGATATTATGAATATGTACACGTTAACACCCCCCATCAAGTTGGAGCATGCGGATTCCGGATGCCCAACTTGCCAAGGAAGAAATCAAACTCGCGCTTTCCCAAGGCCTTAGTGAAAATGTCTGCCAGCTGGGAATGAGTAGAAACGTGAGTAGCAGAAATGATGCCTTGAACGAGATTGTCACGAAGAAAGTGACAGTCAACCTCAATGTGCTTGGTGCGCTCATGGAAGACAGGATTAGCGGCAATGTGAAGAGCCGCCTGACTGTCGCAATGAATCCGCATCGGCTTATGATGAGCCACACCAAGACTACGTAGCAAACCCCGTAACCACTTCAATTCACAAGTAAGCGTCACCATAGCGCGATACTCAGCCTCGGTTGAAGAACGAGCAACCGTGTGTTGCTTCTTAGTACGCCATGATATCGGAGAATGACCAAGTTGTACGAACCAACTAGTGAGAGACCGGCGAGTAGTAGGGCATGTCGCCCAATCGGAGTCACACCAACCGTAAACCTGCAAGTCACAATCAGGCCGAAGAAGAACCTTGGCCCGGAGTACTCTTCGAATAGCGAACCACACGGAGAGCAGCATCCCAGTGTGTCTGATGAGGCTGATGCATAAACTGTGAGAGCATGTGCACGACATAAGATAAGTCAGGACGAGTAACAACCAAATAGATCAAACGTCCTACTAAACGCCGATACTTCTTAGGATCAGAGAATAAGGGACCCTCGGCTAATGGAAGTTGGTGATTCTGCTCCATGGAAAATCAGCTGGCTTGCTCCCTAGTAGTCCGACCTCAACTATGATGTCAAGAGCATACATCCGCTGACAGAGAAAGAAGCCAGAAGAATTCAGAGGGCAACCTCGATACCCAGAAAATACTTAAACAACTCAAGATCCTTCATGTGAAAACAACGACTCAAGTAACTCTTGAAGGCCGCAATGGATGTGGTATCATTCCTGGAAATAATCAGATCATCAACATAGACCAGGACCTGCAGATGGATAGAACCACGATGCAGTGTAAAAAAGGAGTAATCATGATAGAACTGACAAAAACCATACTGCTTTAAAGCCGTAGCCAACTTGGCAAACCAGCAGCGGGGAGCCTGCTTCAAGCCATAGAGTGAGCGACGAAGACGGCAAACCTGCCCATCAATGCCAAAGCGAAAACCAGGAGAAAACTTCATGTAAATCTCTTCAACCAAATCACCATGAAGAAAAGCATTGTGAACATCCATCTGGTGAACTTCCCAATGTTTAGCAGCAGCCACAACCAAGAATAATCGGACTGTAACCATTTTGGCGACGGGAGCAAACGTCTCATGATAGTCAAGACATTCCACCTGATTATTGCCCAAAATCACTAGACGCGCTTTATAGCGCTCAACAGAACCGTCAGACTTATGCTTGATCTTAAAGACCCACTTGCACCCAATTTCACGCTTCCCGGATGGAAGAAAAACTACATCCCACGTGCCATTATTCTCCAAGACACGAATCTCATCCTGCATAGAGGCTCGCCATCGAGGATTAGTCACGGCATCAACAAAAGTGTGAGGCTCAGCAGCGGAGGCGACAACAGCCAAAAAAACTCAATAAGCTGGAGAGAATGAATCACAAGAAACATAATGTGCTATGGGATAAGGCGTACCGCAGGATGAAGACGACTGGGGAGAAGTAGTGGTGGGTACAGTCGAGAGCCTGACAGTGTCAACCACAAAATCGTTCAGCCAAATTGAAGGAACCTTAGTCCGATGACCACGACCCAAGGGCTCCACTGGAAGAGTGGGAGGGATAGTGGTAACGGAACCCCCCTGTCGTTAGATGTGTCCATATCAGTAGCATAAGGCCCAGTATCTGGAGAAACATGAGGCAAAGAGATAGCCGGAATATCTTGATCATCATCCGGCGCAGAAGAAACTGGCACAACAGGAGGCGGTGACAAAGAATATGGCTCAGACGAGTCTGACTGATATGGGAATTCAGTCTCAAGAAACTCCACATCACGAGAGACAAAGAAAATCTGACGACCCAAATCATACAACTCCACCTTTTTTTTTTCCAAAAGTGTAACCGACAAATAGACAATAACGACTCCGAGCAGCAAACTTGTCACTATTACGATCTTGGTTATGAGCATAACAAAGGCAACTAAAAATGCGCAAATGAGACAAATAAGGAGGCGAACCATAAAGAATCTCATATGGGGTTTTACCCTGTAAAACCGAGGAAGAAGTCCGATTTATCAGACAGACCACAGTCAAAACACAATGCCCCCAAAAAGGAACAGGCAGATGAGCTTGGAAACGCAAAGCACGAGCTACATTGAGAATATGCTGATGTTTGCGTTCCACACGCCCATTCTGCTGAGGGGAGCCTACGCAAGAAGTCTCATGCAAAATCCCGTGATGATGAAAATAAGAGGCCAAACACATGAACTCGCTTCCATTATCACTACAAACAAAATGCACCAATTTATCAAATTGTCATTGAATCATAGAAAAAAATTTCAGCAATGTGGAAGCAACCTCCGCCTTATCATTCAATAAATAAACCCATGTTCCACGAGAACAATCATCCACAATAGTAAGAAAAATATCGTGCAACACAGAAGGACGGAACACGATACGGACCCCACAAATCGCAATGAATCAAATGAAAAGTCTCATGACTAACAGTCTGACTGAGAGGAAAACTACGGCGATGTTGTTTAGCACGAAAACAAGCATCATACGATTTATGCAAAATACGAGAACTAGAATCAATAACAGGAACCTGAGATAATACTTGAGCAAACGGATGACCCAAACGTTGATGCCACACATCGGCAAAAACCTTCCGAACACAAGAAACCGCCGTAGAAACCATCCCTCGAAATAAGTAGAGAGCTCCTAACTGCTCACCCGCGTCAATTACCTTTCGCGAAGTGCGGTCTTGAATAACACAGAATTTGTTAGTAAACTGAGCGGTGCAGTCGGAACGATCCAACAATTGATAAAATGAAATCAAGCTGCACCGAAGGCTGGGAACGTATAAAGCATTATAAAGAGTGATATGAGATCCCAAATAAACAGTCACAGCCTTGCTAGCCATAGTCAAGAAACCATTAGGCAATTGAATAGGACGGACGGGAATTCCGAACATCATAAATAAATTTCAAGAACCCTGTCATATGATGAGTTGCCCCACTGTTGTACATCCAATCAAATAAACGACGCGTACCAGACAAAGGATTATTTTGTTTAGCAGAATTAACCAAAGACACAAAGTGAGACCATTGTTCATTGGTTAAATCGCCAAGTACAAGACGATCAGAATCACTCAAAGCTCCACTAACAGTAGAAGAACCAACAGAACCGACAACAAAAGAATCACCAATACCACTAGAGAACACCGCATTCGTACGAGCACCACTCTCACCGCAAGCTCCACCACGGAGGCCACCACCAGAATTACAACCGCGGCCACCACTGGAACCAAACCATTTGGGATATCCAATAATATCAAAGCAAATAGCGGCAAGATGGCCCATTCGGCCACAATGAGAACACTTGAGACGTCCACGACCACTGTCGGAATTAGAACACGCAGCCATGAAGAATCAGACGAGAACAACTTTTTTTTTTTAGACACAGCCGAACAGGGCCTTGATGCGGATAAATTTTTAGACCAACAAATAGCCAAATGACTGAATGAGTAGTCACTAAATGAATGAAACAGACGGATTTTTCTTTCTTTCTTTCTTTCTTTTTTTTTTAATAAAATTTGGATACACTCAAGCAGCTTGTTGNCTAGAATAAATTACAAGATGATAAGTATGGTAATTGATTAATTACCCCTAAATATAGCCACTAAAAGATACACAAATATACACAAGATATTATGAATATATACACGTCAAGAGGGCACGTCAAGAGGGCCCGTCAAGACGCCAACCTACCACCGCCGATCCGAATTAGGATGAGGTAGCCGGGAAAAACGTCCATGGGAGTGCCCCGCTGAGAGGATTTGACGCGACTGAGTGTAGGTGAAAGGGGATTTGAGGAGGGTTTCGCGAGAGAGATTTGATGAAAAAAAAAAAAAAACTAAGATCTAAAATTTTATATTTAATCAATGAGAAATCAGTAACATTAAGAAAATAGCCCTAACATCACATGTAAACACGTCATAGGATAAGAAACGAGTTATTATATGTTAATTTGCGGACAAACCATGTATGACCTAACTTTGTACTTGACATTGACATATGCCTCTATGTGCACACTTTCCTTGTTGGTTCTTACCTTTATGTAGGTTTGCCTCTTTATAAACATTCCTTGGCCGGTTCGACCGTGTTTCGATCGGAGTAAGGATTTAGAATCCAAAAAATGTTAGGATCGTTGACTTCCAGTTCTGATTTCGTTTTCCTTTTGATCAATTTTTTTCATTCCATTTCATTAAAAAATAGCTTGCGATTCACTATTTAGCTTTCAATTCATTATTTTTGGCTTTCAGAAATGTGAATATATAAGGGTGAATACAACTATATTAAGAAAAAATGGACACAGAGAGTAATAATATGAAATCCCACCATAATCACGCCATTATTAAAATTTGGCAATTCTTTACACAAAAAAAGAAAAAAAAAATAAAACTTCAAATGATTGATTATCACCTCTTGGGGCCCAAATCATCAAAATAAGAAATAAAACAGGAAAAGCTGAATTAAAGCCACAAAGCCCTAGCGGCTCTCAACCTGGGCACCAGCTCGCCGGAGATGTGGGCCCCCATGATCTGGTCCACTCCTCCCAACAGCTCCCCGCCCACAAACACCGCCGGCAACTGCGGCGGCGCCGCTGCTCCGCCGCCACCACTTCGCCGGAGGAACTCCGACAGCTCCCTCCTCACGTCGGCCTCGTCCCCCTCGCTGACGAGGCGAATTACGGGGCTCACGCCGTGCCCGTGGAGCAGAAGCTTGACCACGTGGCACATGCAGCAGCTCTCCCTCGCAAAAACCACCACCGCGTTCTCCGCCACCACATCCCTCACCTTCTTCCCGTGGTGGCCGCCGGAGCCGCCGTTTTCCGGCGGAGAGACACCGGCGGCGTGGGCCCCATTTGTAGATGAAAGCGCTTGTTGCATGGAGGAGAGAGAGAGAAAGTGTGTGTGTGTGTGTATGTTTTAGAGAGAGAGGTGAAAGGGGAGAGGGGAATTGGGGATTTATGTTAGCTATGATTATATATTGGTTGGTCTTATGTTAAATGAACCTAACTATCACGCCGAGATATTTACTTTATATATAAATTTACATGTTTATATTAAAAAATATTATAATTAATAAAATAATAAAAAAAGCATATATTTTTGTTTAAATAGTAGGAGTTGACCCACTATATATTTAGTATTTACACGAGAAATATATATACGTTTGAGAGTAATGACATCAAAGGTGAGCAATGGTGACGTAAGCTGTACCAGTAATTGTTGTAGGCGTGGCGCTGTGTCATTGGAAGGACAGGCAAATAGTCTTGATCTAGGAATAGCGTCGCCTTTTTTTGCCCTTTATGTTTTTTTAATTAGTGGTAGCCTTTTGTTTTATTTGTCTGGTCAATTGTTCATTAGTAGGGTTAATTAGGGATCACAAGTTTATGTTTGGCCTTTGTGTTGTTAAGAATTACCTAGTTTGATATGGCAAACGTACAACATTCGTTTTTCAATGAAAACTAAAACTCCGATTATATAAAATAATTGGGACAGTTGTTTTTAGGTCCTAGAATAAATTATAATACAAGTAATTTAAGGTATTGATCGAATTTGTAATTTTATCTCTGGGTTGATATCATTAAAGAGTAAAGTTGCCCATTGGAAATAAATAAGTTTTTTTTTTAAAAAAAAAAAAAAACCTATAAAATTATCCAACTCGTAGACTTCAAAACCTATTGTGAGTCCTTCTACATATACAAGAAAACTTTCTAATCTTTTGGTTGTTTCTTGCAGCAGCGGGGATGAGTATCATGCTACCGATTTTAGTGTTTGTGTCATTGTCAAACGCAAGATCTCTCATACTTGTTTGGCTTTTTCTTCTTTGGTATTAGGGTGCATTGTTGGATATAATTTTTTTTTTTTTTTGTTTTGTTTGGATTTTTTGGTTTGCTTTAGTTAATTTTAAAAAGTGCAGTATGGTTAGTTGTTAGTTGATATATTAAAATAATATTCAAAATAAAATAATTAAAATTGATTTGATATAAAAGTAGGACATATGTGATTTGGTTAGTTAAAATTATGTGAGTGGATAAATAATGAATTAAAGTTGAAGTAGTGTGTAATAACGATTTATTGATATTATTTAATTATATTGATAATATTGGTGGTAGTAGGTTGAGTTAAAAAAATGATTAAGCTAAAATGTTTGGATTTTTTTGAAATTTTTTGTATCCAAGCATCCTCGTGTCTATTTCTTGATAGTACTGTCGAGCTACTTAGCCTCTGGGTTGTAATCGTTTTTGTGGAGTAATAGTATCTATCATTTCGAAAAAAAAAAAAAACGAGTTTTTTCGGTAAAAAATTATAAGCAATAAAATTTTATGGTAGAGTTATGAAATATGTTGAAGTTAGAAACAACAATAAAAAAGTTAAAGATATTTGAATATATTTAGAACTACTAAAAAAAACATAAATAAACCAATCTATTACGCCGAGATATTTACTTAGGGGGGTGTATTCAATTCGGAATTTAAGTGACATTTTAAGACTTTTCGAGATTTGAGACTTTCTAGGATTTTCAGATTTTGGAAGAATTCTATAGAATCTGAAGTCCGGAGGTAAGATTTGAAGTGAGATTTCATATAAGGTTTTTTGTTTAGAAATCCCACTAAATCTTAAAAAGTCTTAATAAATCCTAGTGTCAAAAAAATTAAATACCTCAGGATTTTGTAAGACTTTTGAAAATCTAATTGAATACCCCAGGATTTTTAAAAGTTTTAAAAAGTCTTAACAAATCTAAATTGAATACACCAGGATTTCTAAAGTCTTAAAAAGTCCTTAAAAATCCTAATTAAATACACCCCCCTTAATAATTTTTATCATATTCACAAATCCGAAATCCAGAATAAGCCAATTTTGTCATCTACTTTCCTTAGGACCTTATCAGTATATATAGATCCATCAAATTTTGTGGAATTTGATTATATGTAATTATGTATTTCTAACCCTGAGCTTAAAACATTATCAGTTTATTGCACATGCATTCACAATCGTACGAGTTGTGTTTGTGAAAATCTTTCACATTGCTTTTGCAGGTAAACAGAGGCGTTCTCTCACGTCATAAAATCCAGTCTATTTTGTTGTGCACTTCACAAGTATCCCATAAAACAAGTTCAAGAGTAAATGGTAAGCAATTTGAAACATATATGATCTAAAATACAGTTGAGATGAGATGAGATGAGATGAGATGATCTTGATCCCATGGCATAGTACAACATATATAAGAGAAACAACAAAACAATGCATTTTATTACCAGAAAGAATCCCTAATGTACAACCCCCCCAAAGCCATTCCATCAATTCCCTTCACACTCCCTTCACCAAAACCAGAACAGAACGTACAACCGGAAAAGAAATGTACAAAGGGAACCGAAAAAAACAGAATAATCGAAACCTGTACGGACGGACATGAGCAGTAGTTACACATACACTTGCAGCAGACAACAACTCTACCCTATATTCACATTCCCAATTTTTTCCCCTTACATCATTTAATTCTCAATCGAAACTATGAGCCAACGGCACGCAATACAGAGTAATATTACGTATAATCGTGCCGCCGTCTAAATATCGAAATTAATCACACGATCACAAACTAAAAGCGAATAGAAAAACACTCGAAAATGCAGCTNAAAAAAAAAAAAAACGGACATTTTGGAAAGGGCATCGTTTGTCTCATTTCCAGCACACACACACACATCACCTAATAACGAAGAAGCTAATGTAACTTAAAGCTAACATTGCACCCTTTAGAATTTGCCCGCTTAAGCATACCTTTCGCGGGCCCCACCGGCGACGCTAGCGGCGGCGGCGATGACGTGGACGTGTTCACCGGAGACGACGACTCCTCGTTCCTCTGCACCAGCGTTGCAGTCGACGAGCACTTCAAAATCCCCTTAATCGGCTTATTATTATCATTATCAATATTCTTTCTCTCCTCATCGTCGAAATCGAAAATGACGTCTCCGCCCTTAGCGTCACGTGGGGTCGACTCGCCCGACATAACATTATTTATGTTCACGAGCACGTCCACGAGGGCGTTTTCATAATTATCGCCCGACGCTACTTTCTTATTATCGTCGTCATCGTTATAATTGCCCGGTTGGATAAGGGTATTATTATTATTATTGTTATTATTTTTTCTCTGCACGACCTTCGTCAGCTTGAACCACCCCTCGGCCAAAAGATGAAGGGAGTTCAAGTTCTTGAGAAACGAGCCCTTTTTCGAACGATAATTGTCCGTCGATTTCTTCCGCTCCTCCTTGGCGGCGCCGAGTAGGCCCATCCCGATGAGTGACGTGATGAAAAGCTGGCAGATAGCTGATTTGATCTGCTCGTGCCTCTCGAAGGACGAGGCCTCGGTCAACCCGATCATCCGCTTGATCCCGAGCACCTTGCGCGCCAGCTCATCGAGCTCGGATTTTCGGAATCTCGGGTCCTTTAAGATCTTGGCGGCTAGGTAGCCGATGTCCGTCTCGTTTCGATTCAAACCAAGCTCCTCGAACGGGAAAAGCTCGATTTTCTCGGGAAGACCGAAGCACACGATTTGGATCCTTTTGTCGGCGAGGAATTTGTGGATGCCGCGCGGGAGGGCATCTCCGGCCCGAAAACGGAGAACGACGCAGCCCAGCCCGAAACAGAGGAGGAGAAGGACAATAGATGGGTCACGTGGATGGTGCATGATGTCGAGGCCCACGATCGGACGGTGGGCCCAATCTTTTCCGTCCAGGAAGAGGAAGTCCGTTTTGCATAGGGATTCGAAATCTTTTGTCTTGAAGGTCATCCCTTCGAGTTTCACCTCGAAACGATCAGTTCTCAAGTACACGGTTCCCGCCATTTTTTGCTTACGTATATTCGATCGGCTTTATATTCTCTGGTGGTCATAGAATGACAACGAACAACACGAAAATGAAGAATCTCTAGGAAAAAGGAAAAGAAAAAATTGTAAATGTGGTTCAAGAGAGAAAAACATCAGATCACGTCGCGCGTGATCGGTCGACAATGATATAAGCCAATGTTGAGGGACATAATGGAGAAAAAAAGATACCAAAGGGCAAAAATTCTGTATATGGGAAGCTTTTTGCCGTATTAGAGAGCAAAAAATGGAAATGGGGAGGAAAACTAACGGCTACACTAAATTCAATCCTATTTATAGAGATGAGAGGAACAAGTTTGTTTTCTGGATATGTAAGCTTTATCCAAAAAGATATGTGTGTCCTAATTAATCTGGTCAATGGAGTTTGTGGCTGTTCGTGAATGTAGCAATTTTCTGTACAAGGTTTAAGATAATAATTGAGGATTTTGCAGTTTGTTTTGGCCTATAATAGTGGAGATGAAAATGGATACGTCCACGTGTGTGATGGCGATTTGGATTATAGATGTTATTAGAGAGGTTTAAGCTGCAAAAAAGTCCGATTGGCTAGGTTCATCCTTGTACGTTTGGATTCATTCATTGGCTTTAACATGTCTTTTCCGAAACTTGTTTCAAAATGATAAAAATTATTATAATTTAGCGGACTGATGTAACGTGGTAAATGATTGAGAATAAAGAGACGAAATATCGATATTGTATATTTTTATTCAAAATCTACCAAAGAACATCAAAGAAGATGATGAATCTTTTAAATGAGGCTCTCAAAATCTTAAAACTAACGTGTCCACCAAGCCAAAACTAATAAATATTAAATAATAATAATGATAATAATAATAATAATAATAATAATAATAATAATAATAATAATAATAAAATATGAAATGCTAATAATAATAATATCAAACACTATTATGTATCATTCTCCTCCCGTTGAGCAGGATTCGCCCTCGAATTCGATCCGAACTCGTTGCCGTCATCAACAACTATTCCAGATCTCAAATGGAATCGTCCTTCGCCCATCCATCCGTCAGAGATAATGCATTAACCTAAGAAAACAAATAGCCTTTGATATTCTTTAAGTTGTAGAGGGAGTCGAGCCTGCAAGTATCCACCATGCATTGGAACAACATGCTCGACAACAGAGTGCCTAATCAAACAACCCAAAAGCGGGACTAACTTAGTAAAGTTCCCATAGGACACATTCAATTTTTCAAGGCTTAAGCAGTGACTAGGGCTGCAAACAAACCGACCGGCTCGCGAGCGCTCGAGTCAAAGCTCAACTCGAGCTCGAGCCCACATTTTGTATTGTCGAGCGGCTCGAGTTATATGTGAAGTTACTAAAATACCTCTTATATATATATATATATATATATATATGTATGATTTGGTTCAAATGAGAACTAAGTCCTAGCGTGAGAACCGCTATTTTTAATTGTATGTAGTGCTATGAATGATTGTATTTTAGTGCTATTTTTAATCAGGATGTATTTTATTAAAAATAGCAACACAATTTATGTTAGCATTTGTAAAAATGATAGCACCATGTGCGATTAAAAATAGCATCACACACAATTAAAAATAGCACCAAATATGGTTCTCACGGTTCTCACACAAGGACTAGTTTTTATTTGAACCAACCCCTATATATATATATATATATTAGCATGGGTGCTTAATGGTAATTTTACCTTTCCACTTAAAATTTTGAGCATAACTCGAGCCGAGCGCATGCATTTTGATTTCGAGTCGAGCTCGAGCCGAGCACGAGCTATTGTAATTTTTTATCGAGTCGAGCTCAAGCCTAGAAAATCGAGCTCGAGCAGCTAAAAAAAATAAAAAAATCAATCATGCTCGATAAGACCAATGCTCGACTCGACTCGGCTCGTTTGAAGCCCTAATAGTGACTCAGTTGTTCAGGAATTATCTCACTGAAATCATTGTAATTCAATACGAGAGTGGCTTATGTCTGTAGCATGCCCAAAGATTGAGGAATTATCTTACCAACATTCTCAGTGAAATGCACGCCTATCACATTATTGCGTAAAACATCTGTGCAATTCCAAGAAACTATTTGCAGGTCAGAAACGGTCATATTCTTCAGTCGCTGGCTGCTCCTCATCAAACATAGGCTGCCCGTCATAATCGGCGGCTCCACAGTCCCCAGCCAAAAGCGCACGTGAAAAATTTGGCATAGGATAAGACGTATGCTTATTGACGCCTCAGTTCGCTGCAAGAAAAACACCACAAACCGCCCGTGAGTTAGCTGCTAGTCCCTGACGCAGGTATCCCTGGGCGGCTGGAACCTGCCGCAGCCGGCGTAGGTTCCCCAAACTGCTCCTCTGTCTCTGATGTTTCTTTGTCGAAGAACGGTGGTTCGTCGTAGAAGCCAGTGTCCTCCGTGAACAAAGCACGTGATCTGCTAACATCCTCGGTCAAGTTTTTCTCCGGCCCCGGAGGCTCATCATCGAAAATCTACGGACCGTCGTAGAAACCTCCCGCATCACTGGTAAGATGCTCCACCCCGAAAACCCATCTCCCATCGCGACTCACCAAAGCCCTCGGTCTCACGCCGAGGCTCACAATGACGCTACTCCTCAAAATCCACGTAACTTAGGGCCAAACGACGCGAGTCGTGAAGGTCGTCCTCGTCGAAGCCCTCGGCTTCACAACTCGCCTGCCGGTCGCCGAAGGGATTGACGTTCGAATCGGTCTCCTTGCCCTCATCTTCGTGGGGCAACGGTTGTGGCGAATGTCAGCGCGGTGCCCCGTCTATGCCACGTCCGCTGTGGAATCCCCCATGCACGCCCCGATCGTTGGTGTCGCGGTACGTATGCACACCCTCCACCATGGTACGGATAGTGAGCCGTAATTCCTTAATGCCCGTTGACAGTTTTATGAATCGATCGTCCATCTGTTGAAATAATCGATCATTGATCACGTCGGTTGATTGCTTTTTGTCGTCGCGGTTCTGATGTCAACATATGTAGCGTGGTAGACGATTAGAAATAAAGAGAAGAAAACTCTCTCGATACTATATTTTTATTTAAAATCCACCAAAGGACATCAAAGAAGATCAGTCATTTAAATAAGACTCTCAAAACCATAAGACTAACATGTCCCATACCAAAGGTAATAAGTATTAAATAATAATAATTATGAAATGCTAATATTAATAATATTAAACACTATTCTGCATCATAGAGATGGACCCATTTTGATGATAGGATTGGGATGATTAGAAGATCAAAAGTAATAAAAATTTCAATTTAATGAATGGTCAATGTAAGGGATAAATTTTATAACGTGCTCAATTTATATGACCCATTCTAANTTTTTTTTCCAACGTCAATTATATTAATAACTTAAAAACTCGAAAGAGTACACCCGAAGTGTCAAATGACACACTGGAGCCAGAAGACTGGACCAACCCCCCTTGTCATAACAGACAAGAGGGTACAAACTCCATCAAGGAGGCAAACAACCACAACACAAAACAAAAAAACACAAACTCCATAAAGGAGAGAAAAGCAGACAAAGCTGCACTGAAAGCAGACAAAGCTGCACTAGACAAAACAAAACAACAAAATAAAAAATAAAAAATAAAATACAACTCACACCTAATAAACAAAATACAATAAAACCTCCCCTAAACCTAGCAGACGAACCCCACAACCACATAGACCAACTATCGAGTCACACCCACAACAAAGAACCCCAACTGAGCAACAAGAACTAAGCTCCAAACCCGAAAACTGCGGCATTCACCCGCCAAGACAGATTTTCGACCCAGATCTGGACTCCGAAGTAATTCAATGCTTTGGATAGTAATAGAGACCCGCAAGAACTCGCCTGAGATCTCGAGACAAAAACCCGAAGAGAGCACCCAAGATGGACCCACATCCGAAATAGCCCGACCCGACAAGTCGGGAATCAGGCGTACCGGCGGCCAGTCGGGGCAGCCCCGCCATGGCAAATCACATCCGAAGGCCGGCAGCCTCCAAGGAATTGAACTGAGGCACGCGAGACCATAACTCAAGCGGCATGACGTCTCCCTAGGCTGGAGCTGGATACGGTGGTCGGCAACCTCACCGGTGCCTGGGAAGATAAGGCGGTGATATCCACCTTCGGCCCAGCCGAGCCCGAAATCGGGAGGGGTGGAAAAGCAGCTCTCAGCCACGACTCGCAAAGGTTGGCCCGGTGGCCGCAGAGGGCGACCCGCCGGAAGAGGGGGGGCGGCGGCACAGCACAAATTAGGTTTTGTGAAGAAGGGGGAAAGGGGAGGAAAAAGGGGTTAGAGAGAGAAAAGTGTTACTTCGAAATTTCTATTGTCATTGGATTTTCTTCCTTGGTTCTTTAGCATTTCGATTTGGTAACTAACTTTTCATTTGAGCAATTTTTGTCCAATTTTATTATAAATTTCCTTCATGCAATATTTTTTATTGAAAAAATAAATAAATAAATATCTAAATAATGACAATTAAAATACGTTCTAAACTCAATTATGTATAATAAAGCAAGAATCATATTCCATATCCAAACTACCCAAGTGTTTAGGTTTAGCCATCTTAGAAAAAGATTTTGGGTTGAACAGTCAACCAACACAAACCGGGTCAACGATCCTGATCACCCCCAAACCCCAATTCGCCATAGTCAGAAACCACTTTTTCCTCACCAAGCTTTCTCTTCAAACTCCTACTCAAAGTCTGGAATGCACGCATTTTCGCCTTCCTTTTCAAGAAATCCACCTTCTTGGAACCTGTCAAACCCCCGTTTACTCACCATCGACAGAGTATTTTAAGCTCCAAACTTCTGTTCAATCCGGAACAAAATCGAAGACGATCAAACAAATCAGTAAAGAAAAGAGAAAACAGGGAAAGAGAGATCAGTAATGGTCCTTCCTCTGTTGAAGCTCGGGACGCTTGCCCTGAAAACCCTTAGCAAACCGGTCGCCGCCAAGCTGAAGAAGGAGGCCGGGAAACACCCCAAGTTCCGGAGCTTCATAATCAGCGTCGCTCAGGTACTTTATACCTCGATGTAGTTTGCAGTAATTTGTATCTCAAGGTGTTTGATAAATTGCCTTGGCTCCTTTGTTCTGTCTTCATTAGGGTTTTATTTTATTCGGGTTTATATTCTGAAACTGTATGCTGTTTTTCGCGTTTGGGAAGATAAGATTGAAACTTTGTCTCTCCAAATTTTTAGTTATATTATATTGTGGTTTGCAAGGGAAATTCCGTGGCTTATCTTGTTGCCCAGATTTCGTCATTTTCTGATCTATTGAATTAGGGTTTTATCAATGGGGTTTGAATCTTATAGGAAATGGACTGTTCTGTATCCAGTCTATGATTTAATATTGTGGTGGACGAAAAATTTTCGTATGCTGTATCTTTACATTTGTACTCAATTGACTAGCGAAGGCTGCATCCTTCTTTCAATGTTGCCCATGATAAGATCACTCCACATTGTTTGGCCACTTTCTTCCAAGAAATATGATTAGATTAGATGAAATGTAGTGATAATGTTATTGACATTTGTGTTTTTTTGTTGTTCTGTAAGCTGAGTTTCTGTGTGTTCTGTATAGCTGCCCTTTGTTTTTCTATCCGCTAGTTGTGTGGTTAATTTCTGGAAATCTTAGATAGAAGTAGCATTAGCCGAAAATTATTACTGCGATTAGAAGTTTTGTAGAAGGATATGAAGAGGCGCAGAATTGGGCTGTTTTAATTTTCTTTTCTTTTTTCTTTTTTCCTGTTTTCATCTTGGTTTCATACCTTGTAGGTACGGATTAGATGTATATGCACTTCAATGTGATGCCAATTAACATTTTTCTCAATATTTAGAAGTTCAACAATTTCCAGATGTAGATCTTGATTCTTCAATGTGCATCACATCTCCCCCACCCCTCCCTGTATATATAATATATAGACACACACACACACACACATGGTCAGTCATCCTATGGAGTTGAATGGTCATATCATCTTTGTTTTGTTTATCTTTTCACCTTCTTGTTTGGAGATTCTTTGAAGCTACTGACATACATATATTTTACATTTGAATTGTTTTAAATTCCATTCCTCATAGCTCTCTAGCAGTCAACATACATTCGTGATCAGAAGATGGCTTTTTTCTTATTAATTGCCTTGTAGGTCAACCTTTATATGTGCTTTTGGCAAACAAACGTGGCTTCTTAAGATCATCCTGTTCTTTTGGTACTCCTAATATTGTGAGCTAATTCAATCCTTAAGAATCATGGGTATAAATTGGTTAACATTTTAAATTATTCTTTAGCTTTCCCTTCTTGTTTCTTCACTATGACATGTATATTATGCTTAATTTATCGGAACTAGGTTTTTGTTGACATGATAACATTATTGTGCTCACCCTTTTTACCTTTTTTTGTAATTGGTGGTGGAATCAGGCGAATCACCGGATTACAACAACTATGCAACGGCGCATATATGGTCATGCCACTAATGTAAAAATCCGGCCGTTGGATGAAGAGAAAGCTGTTCAAGCTGCTGGTGATCTCATTGGGGAACTTTTTGTCTTCTCGGTAGCCTTTTTCTCGACTTCAGCATTTCTTCACTTGTTACACATTTGTCAACAAATATATTATTTGCGTTATACGCTTTTCTGGGGATGAGAATGAGAATCTGTTAAATGCCAACTTTATCCTTTTTGTGATATAACCTGTTGATTCAGAAGAAAGCAGAAGCAGTTAATGAGAACTCACTGTGACTTGTTTATAAACAAACCAACAAGAGACGTGCATAATAATATTCCAGATCAGTAATTTGTAAGAAAATCAAATTAACTTAATCAATATGTTGATGTCTTCATTTTGGTTCCAGGCTCTGCCTAATCAATAGTTGGTTTTGTTTTACTGCCTAATCCATTCTTCTTCCTTTATTTTTTTTTTTTTTTTTTTGGGTTTCTACTTTTTTTTCTATTTATGATTTTTGAATTACATAAATATTAGGTGGGAGTAGGCGCTCTCATATTTGAGGTGCAAAGGAATGCTCGATCAGAAGCCAAAAAGGAGGAACTCCGCAAACAAGACATCGAGGTAACGTGTATGGAAATTTGTTTACTTATACTTCCTTGTGCGCTCATTCCCATTTGAGAAAAAACTTTTTATGGTCTCTTTAGGGATTGAGGAATGAGGTGGAGCTTCTAAAGCAAGAGATTGAGATGGCCAAGGCACGAGGGCTTGCAGGCGTGTTTAGTCCTAGAAATAATCATCCTGAAGAACCCAAGCAAACGCCTGTGGCTTCTTCTTGATCTCGTGCAATCGCAAGTTTTGCATCTAACATATTTGTGTGGAAGGACGATAATTTTATTCTTGTCATTGGCTTGAATCTATTTCTGTGTGCAGGTTATAGTATATTCAGCTCCTCTNCGAATATTTTGTTTTAAACCTTTCAAGGAATAAAAGAGAGAATCGTAGCATTGAAATCGTGTAGTAATGTTTTGGCGAGAAAGGTTGAGCTGGGTGCACATGGATTATCCATCATGCTTTACTTGTATTTTGCCTACTTCATTTTATCCAAGTCATGAATAGATAATTGGCTCTTTCACTCCTCTTTCCAGTTACTTTGATGTTTGATATTATCATTATTGTGAAGAAGTAATCAGTTTCTGTTGAATTTCGGGGGATTTTAAATAAGTAAATTTTAGCTAGACATTATTGATAAAACCATAGTTACGAGAGTCGGATCGAATTGGCCGGTTGGATTGGGGAATAGTCCCGTGACAGGTCCGATTCTCTTGGAAAATCTATTGCGAAATAATCGATCGAAACCGGTCAAAAAGCGGTTGGTTGTACTACTTCTTGTTTTTATTTTCTTTCAACTTTTTTTTTTTATATAAAATTAGATTTAAGATTTTTAAACATATTTTTCATATAAGTGATATATATTAAAATATTTTGATTATGTATACACTGTTATAACAATTAATTTAGACATCTGAATGTTTCAAATTATAATAAATATTTAACCAAAAATGTTTGTATCTAAAATTTATTATTAAAACTATAACAAATATATTTAAAAAATTAATAAATTACTTATTGGGCACTTGTTTATGGAATAATTTGTTCAAAATGAGTTATTTTGGTTAACCATAGTTAATTTTGAAAAAGGTAGTATGGTTAGTTGTTAGTGGAATTTTAAGAATGTATTAAAATAATATTTAAAATAAAATGATTAAAATTGATTTGATATAAAAGTAGAAGATAAATGATTGAAAATAATTGGAAATGATAGGTAGTTAAAATTATGTGAGTGGATGAATAGTAAATTAAAGTTCATGTGATGTAAGAACGATTGGTTTGTATAATTTAATTATATAAATAATATTAAAGATAGTGGGATTAAATTAAAATTGAGATAAATTTTGAGAATTTTGAATATGAATTGAATGAGAATAAAATAATTTGTAAACAATCATGCCCTACCAATTCAACTATGTCCAACCACTGATTTGATCTTGACGAACCAAATTTTAACCACTGGTTACATAGTGGGAAAAGTCTTTGTCAACAATTGTTGTTAATTTATTTCAGCTGAAATAGGTGAGTGAATTTTCTAAATTTTCCTAATTCTTTTAAAAAGTAGGATAGCCTGTTATTTATTTATATAATTTACTAAGTGGATTGTGCCTTTTATCTTGTACCTTTCTTAACGAACCCATATATGAACCATATACTTGACACTTTGGGAACCGTTTTTTCGATAAAACTAAACATATCTCCAAAGTTCTTCTCATACATTCAGGAGTCTAAAAAGAATAAATAAATCAAAATTCAATATATTCGATCAAGCGATAATACAACGGATTTATTTACGTAGACAATTCCAATTGCAACCTTTCGAAAGCATTTCAAGAATATTGGAATGAGACATCTTCGAGATTTTCAGATATGATGACTTGAGAGGGAGAATGTGCGGTTGCACTCTTTTTTATCTTATCTCGTTTTTTTTCATGGGATTTTTCGAAATAAAATTTATAATGAGGCAACGCAAACGCATATTTTATAGTGGTAATAAGGGAGTGTTGTGAACAATGGACTTACCATTAAAAAAGACTTGCAAATAGTAAAGTTAGTAGGAGATTGAATTTTTATGTCGGCAATGTTTACTTATAAAAGATAGCTAATGCAACCGAAGAATACATACTGAAAAGAGAATAAAATCACTATAATGATCATGTTCCTATATTCAGGCTATGTTTGGTAGACAAATAGACTATCTTATAAAATCTATCATTATATTAAAAGATTAACCATTTAACACTTTTAGCAAGTTTTTCCCGCCAAATGCATTTAATATCTCCTAAAAATAGAGCAGCATTAAATGTTGCCCTTAAATCATGACAGTTGTTAATTTAGTTTGGAGAAAATCGTGGTAACTAAAACAAACAACATTAATTACGACTGATTTAATATTTAAATGGTAAACAAATATTACTTTTTTATAACTGATTTAAATTTACGTCTGTTTGAAATAAAAAACTATTTTTGAAATTTCAACAAATTTGTACTTTTTAATGTACGGCTGATTTAAAATTAAGAATTTACTTTTGTATTTTCACAAAAAATCGTATAAAGAAGTATGGATGGAATAATAATAAAAAATTAATTTGTTAAACCATATTTTGCACTCATAGATACGAATTCTCATCAAATTCAAGATTTAAAATTTTGAAGAATGTATATATATGTGGACTGATTGAAGATATATGATTCCTTAAATTAAGGAATTTTTTCCGGTAAAAAAAAAATATAAACTTTAAATATAGATTTTATTAGTAGTGTATACCAAAGAATATTGTTACATTTAAAATTCCTATGAAGAAGAATTCTATTAATTTTCAAATTCAACATCTCATAAAAATAATATAGTACACATTTACATTCTGTGAAACAATATTTAAAACCCACCGTTCAACATGCATAAAATGTAAAATTACCTAATATGAATAATTTTAACTTTCTAAAATCAGTACACAATTTGCTCGGTATGTACTAATAGTCTAATAGTTAAGAGTTAATATTTGTTATGACATCTATTGGCTGGAAAGAATTCCATTTTGTATGGAATTCGAAATGAAAAAACATATTCTGAAAATCAAATCTGGTTTAGAGATCGATTTCTTAATGGCCTTAAATTATGCAAATATATTGTTTCAGTTTTTAGGATTCTTTTTTATGATCTCAGTCTTTGCATTATATGAAATCTATACTTATATAAAAAGTCATCCTATTTACTAGAAATAGTAGGCAGAAAAGCAAAGGTAATTAATACTTGCTCCAAATAGAATGATATTAATTATAAATTTGTTTTGGTATTTATAGGCTTGACATTAAAGATTGTTATGGGATAAAAATCAGAACCGATTTTTTACCTTTGCTAGAAAAGTCAAAGGTAAGTATAGATTTGTTTTATCTCATAGCATCGGTTTAGTTAAGAAAATCCCATCAAATCAGTTTTATATGTCAAGCCTATGAATAAAGATTTAATCGGTCAAAATTAAATCCTTATCTTACGTCACCCATAAATAAAGTAGATGTCAAACCTAAATTGAAGGGTTTAGTTGTCTATATAATCATTGATTTACGTAAATACATCTAATGTTTAAAGTTTTTGTAGATTGAAAATTCCTTCTTATCTTTTTATAAAAAATCTTATTATTATTGTATGAAAAATCAAACTTATAATGTTGTCGAATACTATCCTATTGTATAATTTTCCCACGTATTATAAAATTTTTATTAAATATTGCATTTTATAATATAGTATTCCTCAAATAAATATATCCTGTGTCACGCACGGGTCACGTACTATATATATTTCGTACATTTTTCTGTATTCATGTATATAATTATAAGTCTGGATAAATAGCCTTGAAATTGTGCACCCCGTACATGGCACGGGCTATGTACTAGTAATAAAAAAAAAATAGTAATAATAAAGCACCTCAATCTCAAGGGTAGACTGGTAAATACCTGCACCATTACTCCACTCGCTTTCTTCACCAATTGCGCAGAGAATCAAGTTTTATTTTATATATGTATTTTTTTCCTTTCAAAAAATCAGTAATAAAAATTCGGAGGAATAAAGAAGAAAAAAAGGGGAAAAGAGAGGAAAAAAAGAAAACCACTCTTTACTTTACCTCTGCACAGCAAACCCCAGTCGTCGTCTCTCTCGCCTCTTCGAACAGGTAACGCCGCCCTACTCTTTCTAATTATTGTTCTTTTTTATTATAGTTTGTAATTGCTCACCGATTAGGATGATCAGTTTTCAAAAATTTTATTGACAATTTTTGGGCTTCGATTTTTGTGTCCACAATTTTCTCCCCTTTCTATTACTTTTTGGTGTTCCTTATGTAATTTGGTGAATCATTATAATAATTTCGATGAGCTCTAGAATAATATGAATTTTTGTGAACCTTTGGTTGTAAAATTTTCACCGTGTTAGGGAAATTCTCTTTCGTTTCTATTTTGACAGAGAAGAAAGGGTAGCACTGTAGCAGCATATATTTTTGCATCCTTTCTTTTCCTTCTACTTCTGGGACTTCAATTTTGCAACTTTCTGTATATTGTGTCTTTATACTGTTTGCTTTGGTTTTGGCAGCTTCTTGAAAGATCACGCCGATTGCTGCGGATGGGGAAGGATTCGAAGAGTGGGGCATGCAAGTCTGCATCGCACCAGATCTTTAAGGACAGAGCAAAGAATCGAGTGGATGATCTTCAGGGTATGTTCAGCGATCTTCAGTCAGCCCGGAAGGAGAGCCGCACAATCGATGTGGCCGTGCTTGAAGAGCAAGTTCACCAGATGCTTCGTGAGTGGAAGGCCGAGCTCAATGAGCCCTCCCCAGCTTCCTCTTTACAGCAGGTAATTCATTCTTCACAAAACAACAACAACAACATCATACTCAGTATTTGTATTGCCCGTGAAAATTGATCTTTGGATGTTGTTAGGATGTGGATAATGAGACTGTTCGGTATGGTTTTAATGGTTTATTGCTCTAATGTTGCATATCACCATACCCCAATTTTGATCTTGATGTATGTTTGTTAGATATTGTGTTTTGTCCAGAATAAGTCAAGTTGTTCCCTGCCTGATAGAGTTACGGTGTGGGAGTTGTTGAGAGTAGTTATTTGCTTTTGCTTTATCCTCAATGTTTGGTAAATCTGTGTGGACCAATCTTGGTGGAATGTTATTGGCAGTTTATTTGTGCAAAAAATAGAAAAGAATCCATGCATAACTCGTGAAATGACTGGGCAATGTGAGTTTCAAAATGAATGAACCCTCTTTGTGTAGGGAGGGAGTCTGGGCTTTTCATCCGAGATTTATCGGCTGCTGCAGCTTTGTGATGAGGAAGATGATGCAACCAGTTCTTTTGCTGCTC